CTTTTGTAGACCACCGAAACACATCTTTGGGCTTGCCAGTCCTGGGGAAACCTGGGACCAAGAAGGGGCAGAAAGGGGTGAAGTCAGGTTGGGGTGAGTAGTGGTCCCTCCCGTGGGCAATTCTGACAGATGTGGGAGGAGGGGAACATCTCCAGTCGTGGATTCACAGCAGTGGCTAGTGACAGTTACTGAGGAGCAGCAAAAGAACATTTTGTAGGGATTCTCCGGATTAAAAAGAAATGGTGAAATTAAACTTTTCTATGACTCAAGCTTTTCCTTTTAGATTTTCTCTATCAATCAGTGTTTACTGCTCTCTTTCCTTCTCTGTGTACATTCGGTAACTCTCTGCTGAGATTTCCCAACTCTGTACTTGCATACAAAGAATGTTCAGTAGTTATTTTTTTTCTTAATAGCATCAGTTTTGACCACAGAACTGATAGCAAAAGCTGACATCCTCACAGTCTAAGGAACGGTATCAATTATAGTGTCTTGAGTCTACTGAGAAAGCTATAAAGTCTACCTGGAGAGACATCTTTCAGTCTTTTCTCATCCTCTCTTTCTCATTCCCACACAAGAGCAGGCAGGAACAACACAATGAGTCAGAAGCAGGTAAAGAAGCCAGGAGAAGAAAAGAACAGATCAAACTCCTCTTTGTCACTACTAGCTAGTGGGGCCAGTCTTAGGCTAGGAAGGGAGAGAGGCTTGTTATGGAGTTTTAAAGATTTTTTTAAAATTTAAGTGTTGAGCCTATCCTAAGAAAAAGGCCACTGACCATGTAATAGTTGGGTCTTTGATCCAGTTTTTGTATTGCAGTGTTTAGATGAATAACATATTAATTTTAAGATATTACAGATTAATAGTTTCATTTTATTGACTGTTTTCAGGAGAGGAGAGAATTTCAAAGGAGCTAATAAAGCAGGCTTTGAGAATCAGTATGTCCGAATTAGATCAAATGGGGGAAATGAGTAGAATAGGAGGGTCAGCACATTTTTCTGTTCCATTAATTCATGCCTCAACTTGTAAATTCTTCTTTAACCTTGGTAAACTAATATCCTTCCTCATTGCCAATGTAGTCTGCTAATGTAGTCTCTTTGGGACTTTTTCTCCTTTTTTGACAGATGAAAAGCCTACCCGCGTCTTATGTATCGTATCTTTCACCTAACATTTCTCTGTACCATAGCCTGTTGTCTACTGCAGATGGAATCCATTTTTGTTTCAACATTGAACAGTATCCAGACTGTGTTAGAGTCCTTTTAGCGCTTTGTAACAACTATTTATAGGTCTGTTTCCATCTAATCTCTTTGTGAAGTTCATATTTCTAGTTTTATTCCTAGAATTCTCAGTAATATGCTGAGAATACACTGTGCTGTGTAGTTATTTATTAAGTAAATGAATTAATATATTCAAAGTGTGCCTTTGTCCCAAGTAGAGAGGAGCCCAGTTATGTGTGTCTGATATTATTGCCCAGAAATTTCATTACATGTCATATGATCACAATTTACTAATTCTTCAGAATTTAAACACTCTATTACTTCATTAGTTATTTAAATTTAAATAGAGAAATTCACCTACTGGTTATATCTGCAGAGAAAATCATTTCTCTTTCAGTTTGTTTTTCTTCAGCACACTTTTTATTTAAAACATATGGTAACACAAATACAATTATGTAATTGGAATAACAAAACTGCTTCATATGTATATTTCTTTTGTTCCTAGTTTTATTTCTCTTACTTTATGAACAAGGTAATGAATTTACTGAATCTGGGATAAATTTTGGTTCTTGATGAGTTCCTTCAATATTTAAACTGCTTACATTCAATCAGTGTGAACTTGGTAAAGATTGTTTTGTACCATCACAGTAAATTTAATTATATCAGTTGGTGCTTGTAGATAATATGATTGCTCATGTTCAGTCTGTTTTATGAGATATCTCTAAGTACTTTAGCAGTGTAATCAATTGTTTATATAATAACCATCATTCAAAAACTAATTATTTCTAAAATGTCAGTATGTTCACTTGAAGTATATTACACAGTCTCTTTCAGTTGGGGTTTGATGCTGGAAAAAATCTAATTCAGGAAATTATGACTAGACTTGGTGGACATCTGCTTTTAGAGCAACTGTGACAACGGTTTCTTAAAAGCTGTTTCATCATAGTGTACTTAGTGACATCAGAATAGTGCAAGGTTTAGTTTGTGGAAATCAGGCCAATTTCCAATTGCTTTTGCAGTAGCATATGTGTTTGTTCAGCTCTGTGAGTGACTCAGCTGGTTTGATGTTACTGGTAAATTGTTTGATAGCTATTTACAGGGTCATGTAGGATTATAAACTATCTGAAAATAGGCATTGTAAATATCTTAAAATTGAATAAAGGTAGATCCTAATCTTAAAGCTTGTTATTCTGTAAGGAAAACAGATTCTTTTATGGTATTATGCTGCCTGCTTTTCATAGGCCCTAGAAATGAGCAACTGGCAATTGTTCTAAAGAATTATATCACAGAGGGGCATTACTGTGGCAATTCCCCAAACTTTAACAAGGTTGCTGGGCATGAGGCACTGCAGAATCGCTCTGCCAGATGATTCATTGAGGGCAATGGCAAAGATCCCAAGATATGGCATGTGATTATGCTCATTAAATTATGATCTGGAAAAGCGAAGGCACTGAAAGAGTTTAGCATGTTTTTCTGGAAGCATATCTGTTGCATGGTAAGTGGTAATTTGTAATTTCCAGGCAAACAAAAGTTACATAAGCACTGAAGAGAGTTTTAGTTTTCAGTGATCATATGCCCAGTGCCCACAGTTCAAATGAATTAATTGCATCCAGCAACTCAGCACTCATATTCTACACAGATTATTTCATTTTAAAAGGCAAACATATGACTGAGATTTATGGAGGTATCATATCCTCTATTTATGTGCAGATACTCAGTGTATTTGATAGAATTGTCCTTATTTTGTATAAAATGCTTTAACTTTTATTGTTAGTATATGTCTGTACTACACAACAATTACATCCATCATTGGGGAATTGGTACATATATATCTCACATCTACATTTCTACTCCCCTGTCCCTTGCCTTCTCCTCTCACTCCTTCCCCAGATCCCTTTCTCATTGCTATAAGTCTACCTCCCTGTTTCCTATAATCTCTTCCTTTTGTTGAACTGGGAATCGAACTCAGGACCTTGCACTTGCCAGGAAGATGCCGTGCCACTGAGCTATATCCCCAGCCCCAATTTATTCTTTATTTTGTTCTTTAAATTATTTATAGTATGAGTTTCTTATATAAAAGAAACCAGGCCATATTTATTCTTCTGTGTCTGTTTTATTTCATTTAGCCTGATGGTCTCACAATCCATCCATTTTCCTACAAATGACTGCAATTTATCCTTCCTTATGGATTAATAGTATTCCAAGTGATATGTACCTAATGGTCACATTTTCTTTATCCATTCATCTGTTCATGGGCACCTAGCCACTCCCATAATTTAGCTGTTGTGAATTGTGCTGCTTTAAAATGGATATGTATGCTCAGAAGAGATATACCTGGGTCAAATACAACTTTTATTGTCAAGTTTTTTCCCACAACCTTCCCAGCATTTATTGTATTTTCAGATTTTTGTGTCTACCACTCTTACTGGAGTAAGATGGAATATCAGTGTTGTTTCCATTTGCATTTCTTTAATTGCCAAAGAAGCTGAATAGTTTTTCATATACCTTTTCACCATTTCTCTGTCTTCCTTTGAGAAGTTTCTAGTCATTTCAATGGTTGTTTTAGATTTTTTTTTTAATTGGAGGAAGTCTATTTTTTGAGTTATTTATGTAGTTTAAATATTGCATCTCTCTCTGAGGAATAGCTGGAAAAAGTCCCCATTCATTAGGTTGTCTTACCAGCCTGTTGGCTATTTCCTGTGCTGTGAAGAAAGTTTTAATTTGATAACTGTCTGTCAGAGTACCTTCTTATTCTAATAACATGCCCCGCCCACTCAGAAATATGTTTTAGGCTGGGTTATTGCAATAGATTTTGGGCAGTACAGTGTGACTCCTAAGATAAGAGTGACTTTGTGATTTAGAGTGGCTGGAGATATGTCTGTAGGTCTTTTATGTATGAAATGATTTGGACGTGCTGTTAGGCAAAAAGTGATAAAGCCAAAAGTCTGCTTCTGTATTAATCATATTAATGGTTTTTGGTAAACTACTCCATTGCTCCATTTATCATGGTTCTCATCTAATAAAATCACAGGGTAGAAGATTTATTGAGTACAGTTTAATTCCTTTCTTTTGTAATTTAGAATTAGTTGGTGAGCAACTCTGATTCTCCCTCTTTAAAGAAAACATCATAATATTGAAGTTTTCAGTTTTTCTTGCATTAAACATGACCATATGATTGAACTCTAGCGGTGGAGTCTTAATCATTCAATCAAGAATACTACATTTGAATAAAATATGTAAGCAAAGCAATTAAGATTTGAGTATTTATCTATCTTAAATTATTACCCAAAGTAATAATTTGAGAGTATCTAATCATTAAAAATGTATCAATAAAAATTATTCTATTTTACTTGTCCATCTAGATATCAATAGTATTTATTATATAACATTGAAGTCATTAAATAAACAGAAATTTTGGAAAAATAATCTTCAATGGTATTGATGAATCAAATACTATTTTATTCTAAAAGTTACATTTCATAAAGTATTTAACACATTTATTTAAAAACACCCAGAGTTCCAAGTGTTATAAGTACTTCCCATTACTTGGATGAGGAATTTGTATTTTAATAGAATAAATTTCAATATTGTAGTTTTTCATGTGTTTCCTTTTCATAGGCATATATTTTAATTAATTTAACTCTGCCTCGAGTCAGTACACTATAAAGCAAGATTTAATATAAATTCATTGTTGTTTTGTCAGTTTTTTAATTTTTAAAATTGAAACATAATAAATTAATTGAAATTCTAATTTATTGTACATAGCAGAACTTACCTGATGTGTTAGGATATAGCGATGGTTTGCTGATTCCAATAATGCCCGCAGTGGACAGCAGTAGGATAGACTAGCATTTATATACCTATTTACCAAGATAAGAAATTTGAAGACTATAAAGTGAATATGCAACAAATGTTTTCAGAGGATGTTTAAGATGAGACTAAAAGAGGATAAATATTCAAAAAAAGTAAGAAAATTGTCTTCAATTTTGAAAAGTGAAAAACTTTTGAATATAAACATAACTTTAATGTATTTGTACAGGAAAAAATTAGAAAAGAATCTGTAGATTTTTTTGTAATGTTTCTTAAAAAGAAATCTTAAGGAATTTCAAGAGAACCTTGAAAATGATGGTTTGATAGCTTGATAAAATTTTTCAGTTAAATAGGTAGGAAATATATTTTTCCTCTTTTAGTTAATTTTTGAAACAAGGCAAAGGAAACTGGTGGAAACATTGGATAACTTGGCATAGCAAGGATAGTGTAGATTTTGTTTTACTAGTACTCTACTATCTCCCACAAAGGAAACTGATGGAAATAGAGATTATATACATGATCAGGCACCATTATTAATGACAGTAGTAACTCTTTTCACTTTTCAAAATTGAAGACAATTTTCTTACTTTTTTTGAATATCTATCCTCTATTAGTCTCATCTTGAACATCCCCTGAAAACATTTGTTGCATATTCACTTTTATCGTCTTCAAATTTCTTAACTTGGTAAATGAGTATATAAATGTTAGCAGTAAGTAGCAGACTTCTGTGTACTATTGGCCATTTGAGACTATGAGAAGATTATCTGGCAGGCTTTCCCCCATCTCGCACAGAATTTGATCTTAACTCTACATCTGATGGAAGTGTTTATTATGCATACATAAAACGTACATAATATTTATTACAAGCCAGATACACTTCTACATGTTTTTACAAATATTAACTTAGATCATCCTCACAGTAAGGCTTTACTTTGGCCCCATCGATCTTGCCTTCTGATTTTTATATTCCTGTGTAGTCCCCCACAATAGTGTAGCAAGTTTCATACGTGGGCTAGTGTATCGCTTCTGAGATAAGGCTATGAAACACCTGAGAGACCATGAAGGTTCTATCTTTCTTTAATAGAATCCTTGAAAATCACCGGTAGTTCTAAGTTTTACAGATACTTCTCATAACCATATTAAGAGAATAAAATTAAGTACTTTTGTTTGCCATGTATTTCCTTCTCATAAATATGTATTTTATGTGAACTCTCACTTTGTCTTTCACAACTGCCGTATCTGTACAAACGGATGGAGAGGGCATTGTGGCGGAGAGGCCTCTTGCCAACAGCTATGTGACTAAACTTAGAAGCAGATCCTAGGGCCACTGGCGAGCTTTTGGGGACAGCAGCCTGACCCAATCGCTTGAGTGAAACTTGGGGAGTTTTCCTAGACCAGAACCACCCAGCCAAGCTGCTCAGATTCACGCACTGCGTTTCAGTCGCTCTCACCAGGGGTATTAACCAAAAAGTGTTATCCTTTCCTCTTGAAGTCTGACGTTTACAGTCTATCTCAACTAGGGGGAAGTTTTGCTATTTTACATAATTTCAAATAGGAAGTCTCAAAAACCTTAGGAAGTCTCATAAGGAGAATGGAAAAAAATGCGGTGGAAGAGAGCTGTGAGTGTGCATCGCCGGAACGAAGAAGTTAAGGAAAGGTGAAGGAGGGTGCTGCATTAGCTCAGAAGTGCGTTGAGGAGGGACTCTCACCTCTGACAGATAATTGTCTACTGTCTGTTAAGCTGGGAGCTGAAACCTGTTTCCTTGGTTACAGGGAACTCGGTGCTCAATAGTCAAAAGGAAAATGATTTAAAGAATATTTGTTTCATAGCTGAGTGGGCTAAGAGAAAATAGCAGCTTTCCTTGGACCGATGTTCCCTTTATATGACTCTGGTGATTTCAGGCTTAACGTGTCTTGCTTGAATCACTGAAATCCAGCAACATAAGACTTCGGAAAGCTCAGTGTGTGGAATGTGACTTAGATATTAAAAAAAGATAGAATCAAAATGAAAGAAGAATAATTCATCTTATCCTGAAAATTTACCTAAATAATATAAATAAAATTTACGTAATATAAATACCTTAGAATTTATATTTAGTAAAGTAATGGTGGTTTTAAAAAAAATGTTTAAGAATGTATATCAAGGATACATGAGAAAAAAATGAAGTTTATAGCCTGAATAATGTTTATTTAAACAGATAAAGGAAAAGCTTTCCAATTATTAGAAAAAATTAAAAATTTATGATCAATTGAATTCAATTTTTAATTTTGGGGGAGAAAGGCTGCACAGCAGCTCTACCATCTGAGATACACGATATCTTGGGAGTGCTTCCTGGCCTTCTCACCACATTTTGTTTACCTGTCACCTTTATCCCCCTGTAAATGCCCTTAAAGTTTGCATTGTATGATGATTGGTTCAATACCTGTGTCGGCCATAGTCCTGTGTATTAACAAGAATTAAGCATTATTTATCTTTATATCACACTGTGTCTATAGTGGTTGACGCACATTAGGAACTCAACAAAATGTTAGTTAATTGAAAACTGTATTAAAACAGTGTTAGAAAATATAGTAGATCATAAGTTTTTATTTCATATGTAGATGATTGCTATTAGAAATTGACGTTTGATGGAAATCTAAAATGACAGATATTATTTGACAATATTTTTCCAATTAAAATAAAAGTAACCAGTTATTATATTTTATAACAATATACATAATGTAAAGGTCAAATGATTAATTAAGCACTTAAGCATGCAATGTTTCATAATAACATCTATTTGTATTATTTTATATATTTAAATATTTTTCAGAAAATAAATTTTGAGTGGTATTTAAAAACATTTATATTTTTAGGTGTTTCAAGTGATTCATCTCCTCCTTTTGTCATGTATAACAAAATAATTTTTCATTCATACAGTTTTTTAGTGTACCTGTTATGTGCCTGGCACATTTCTAAGCACTCAATTCCAAGTACTTAATACCTTGTATGAAAAACTTCTGTACTCATACAGCTTAAATTTTAGTGGCAGAACAAATAAAATAAATGTAATCAGGTAATCCAGCGTTCTTATTTGGACATGGTAAGTGTAAGAAGACTAATTGACAGCCTATAAGAATCTTTAGGTGAAAAAAAATTATATACTGTATCTATATGAAGAATCCATAGGAGAGATCAGAACTGTAGGTTAAGATTTGGTACAGAGAACAATAATTATGTAAATACACTAGTATTGGGTAGAATCTCCTATGCCACATGTGTAAACAAACAGAATGGAGAGCTGAGGACAGAATATTCAATACTTAAGAGATCAAACAGAGCAGAATAATCCATGAAAATAATATGAGAGATGATATCAAGAAGCTTAAAGGAAAAATGCATTTCAATAAGAAGCAATTGGTCACTTATATCTTCTGCTACAAGAGGTAGAAAAGACAAGCACAAAGAATCTTTGGGTTTTAAAAGATGGTGGCCCTTGACGAGTCATGCATTGTTACTGCTTCTTATAATAGTAGTCATAATACCAATTTTAATAATCATACACACACATGCACACACACACATGCACATGCACACACACATTCACGTGCGCACACACACGCCCTTCTCAGGGCCAGACACTGTTTTATGTATTTACCAGGTATTGAGTAATCCAATGTTTAGCTCAAGGTCTCTTGTCAGAGGAAGGTAAGATACTGAGTATGATTTCAGTCATCTGAAAGCTTAGGTAGGAGCCTGAAAGAGCCCTTTGTAAGATGGCTCAGTCACAGGCTGTTGGCAAAAGTTCTTAGATCCTCACTGGCTGTTGGCAGGAGGCCACAGTTTCTGTACCAAACCCTATCCACAGGACTGGTCTGGACATTACAGGTTTTCCACAGAGTAGAAGCCAGGAGCCAGTGAAGACTGAAGCTTTTTATGGCCTGTGTTCAGAAGATACTCTCACGTCTGTACTGTTTTATTCAATAGATGTGTGTCACAAAGGGGATTCCTATGAAAATTAGGCTCCACCATTTGAAGTGAATGTCAAAGAATTTGTGAACATATTTTAAACCAGTATTTAGTATGAAGAAATTAAACATCAAAATGTGTGCAACTGTTTTCAGAATTTCTTCTGGAAAGAGTATCAAAGGATGAAAAGCTAAAAAGAGCTCTAAAAAGAGCTATGGAATTAGTGTTCCTTTAAGGGCTATTCTAAGGCATGTATTTAGGTGATAAGACTGGCAAATCAACATGAAGAGAGAGAACGCTTCCTGGAGGTCCTTGAGCAGGTTTTGTATGGGAAAAATCTATACAAACAGAGAAAAAGCAGAGGATGTTGTTTTCACTGAAATCAATGTGTAGAGCATGGGGGTACACGGGCAGGTAGAAAGATGAGGTAATTTTTTCTAATCTATTTTTTTTCTGGCAAGTATTGGTGAGTACAATAGTGGAGAAGTAGGAATAAAGAAGGTGATTCCAGGACTTTTGTGAGAGAAAAAATGGGAAATGTGGGTTAGCTTGAAGAATGGGGAAATAAATTTACTGTAGAATTTACGGGAGGGTTGTCTGGCATTTGTGAGTGCTCATTTGAGATTCATGATCATAAATATAAGTGAGTTTGGTCAGCACATTTGCGGGATTAGGACGATCTTAGGCTAGATGTTATCACATGTGCCTGAATTATTACAACAGTTACCCAACTCGTCTCCCTTCCCTCGAGTTTCCCTTGCTAATGCCACATCAATTTTCTTAAAACACTCTTCTGCATAAATTAAGCTCTAGGCCAGAAACTTTCATTGTTTCATTTTGGGTGTAAAGGCCAAATCCTTAGGCATGTCATTTTATAGCTGAGACTATGTCTCCAGCAATGGCAAAACATGAAATACTTTCCATGGGGCAGAAAAATGACCTGTTTTGTACTTCTGAATTGTTACTACGGCATTTGAATGAAACCCTAGTGAACAAGGGCTTTGCAGGATCCTGAGGGACTCTCAAGGGAGCTAGGCTAGTGAGACGTGCTGAAGACCTTAATGAAAGCATTAGCAGTAGAAAGAGACATGAGATGATGATAGCGGGAGATAGTGCAAGCTAACCTCTCCTTGCCTACATGGAAAAATAAAATAATCAACAAATACCTAATGGTAAACAAACTCTTCACTTACCCAATTACTTAGATGATAGTGACATTTGCTGAGAAAGAGAATAGAGTGGAACAGGGAGAAGCAGAAGGTAGAGAAAAGGTAGTCCAGTTTAATACATAAAATTGTGAGAGTAGTAACAAACCATGGTTCGCTAAGTTACTCTATATTTTTTCTGTTATTGTACTCACCTTGTTTTTTAATCCATATCCAGTGGTAGACTCCGTTTTATTTCCCGGAGTCCTAGTTCTTCTCTGCTGGCAGCTGTGTCATCCTCGTGCTCTTATCTTAAATGTCACCGCAGGGGTGTTTCCTGAGCTCAGCTTACTTTGCTTCCCATGTTACCAGCTATCAGGGCTCTTCTTTCATTTTGGTGACACCTCTCACACTTAAAATTTCTCCTGTTTCTGTGTCCTCAATTAAAACAGAATCTCCTTGAAGAAGAAAGGATTTCATCTTGTGCACAATGAAGTCCCCCGCCTTGGCTCAGAATCTGACACAAAGCAGTCCCTCAAGAAATATTTTGTGAATTCATTTCTGAATGTTAGGCCATGGGCAAGACTGATGGGATTATATTTGTGTATTTACATTTGTAACAAAACTCTCCTAATACAATAAGAGAACCTTGACAATAAGAAAAGAATAAGCACAATTTTGAGAGAAAACCACAGTTTCAACACATAAAGGCCATTATAACATGAAATTTTGCTTCATTAAGAGCTTCTTGTGGAGCCCAAAGAAATTTTATCCTTGGCAGCTTTTTACTTGTGCTGTCAAAGTGCACATCTTAGGCCAGTGCATTCAAGAAGTGCACACTAAATACAAGCTTGTTTCCATGGACACCTAGCAGCAACAGAAGATAGAAATAAGGCATGAATCTCTTCAATTCTCTTTAAAATAAAACAAAGAAAATAAGGTACTAATATCATACTTCAGTCTTAATAAAAGCAGAATTAAGGAAAAGTACATAATTGAAAAATCGCTCATGTGTCACAGATCAAAACAAAATCAGATGTGGAGTTGATTAAAATAAACTTTAGTTCTCTAGATTTATCACTTTAAACTCTTTTGAAAAGTAGTAATATTTAAAAGAATAGGTAAGACTTATGTCCCCTAATGGTTAATTCTAATAACTACAAAAATGAATAATTTCTTTTTTAAAAGAGATAGCAGATAGAGAAAAATATGGTTGGTTTTATTATTCAATTTCATTCTGAAACATTAACACTGCATAAAGCCAATCAGAAGACCATATTTTCATGCACTTGGATGTAATTATTTCAAATAAATACATAAATGGGAGAAATATAATCTATGTAAATCTATGTAAATGGATGGTTATAGTGACTTAGTATATAACATTACTAAGTAGATGGCTTAGGGTTTCATTAAATAAAAAAGACGAAAGACCTGAGTTAGCAAGAAAGGGTTCTTTTGTTCTATTTCATTTACTTTAGGTTGTTAATCTGGTCCAAGATGATCAATTTCTCATTAATCATAATAATTAGGAGTAGATTTACTGAGCATTAGTGTAATTTTCAATCATGCTAATAGTTGTGCAATCCTCTTCATTAATATAAATGAGATAAATTAGGACCATGACATTATAAAGAAGCGGCAGAAGCTGCAGGAGCTTTCATGGATCCTCCCTAAATTTCATTAATTTAATTGTAATATGTTGTTCCTTGATACAGATTTTCACTCTCTTTATTTTCCATTGCTAATAGTTCTTCAGATTGGTTAATGAGCATACTAACCTCTTAATTTAAGTGACTGCTATGGTGTGCTCTAAATCACACATACTTATCTTGTCTCATTACCTTTAACCCTTTCTCAAATGTTCAGTCAACACCATTTATGGAGTAGTCACCCATGCAATTGGTAATTAGATATATCAGCATAATACAAAAACAAGAGAGAGTCTCTGTTTTCTAGGAGATTAGAATCCAGGAAAAAATGTGGATTGCATTGATATAATTAAAAATAAGAAGACAATTTCAAAATAAAAATTACTCTCTTTGTTACACTCATGAGATTCTGATTTATAACTGTCCACGGTGGTGTACACATATAATTCCAGCACTCAAGAGGCTGAGGCAGGAGGATCACAATGAGTTCAAGGCTATCCTTGATTACTAGTGAGTCCAAGGCCAGCTTAGCTACACAGTGAGACAGATCTCAAAAAAATTGTCTTATCCTAAAAATGCCAAAATAAATTCCCTTCTTCATGATTTATATTCATTTAATTATTTCTATAAAATCTTTCCTGAAATGTGACTAAATTACATCCTTATGTTTATGATTTTATCTGAGCTTTCAATTTTTTCTTCATAACACTTATCAAACTTCATAGCCAATATCTACTTTTATCATTATTTATTTACTGTCTCTTCCTCTAGATTGTAAGGAAATTGACATCAGGAACCACAGCTATCACATTATTTGTTATACTGCAAAGCCCAAAAAGAATTTAAGGGTGGATAAATGAGTGATCTGCTGCACTTGTGATGTTTTGCTCTTGCAAAGATTAAATTATAAACTTGCTTGATCTTAGAATCTGGAATCTATGTTGTTCTTTTCATAAAATAAAGTCTCTGATTTGGCCGTAGAAGTTTTACTCTGCTTAGCTGAGAGAAGCACTCATCTTCATTAGGAAAGTTTATTTTCTCAAATCTGTTTGTATAATGGAGAACCATCAATTTGGGCACAATACCTCTCTAGTTTAGGAGACTTCTTAACACCAATATTAGTAGAAATAGAAACTTGCAATAACTTGTCTTCTCATTCATTTGGATACAATTTTATCTTTATCCTTTCAGGGATTTATTTTGTTTTATTTTGCCTGGGCCTGAGAATTAAACTGATAGAAAAAGTGCAACAGAAGAAATAGATAAAGATTAATTTACTATAAGTTTTATGTGACAAGAGATGTCACATAAGGACATAGAAACCCACAGGCACAGAATTCAGTACTTAGATCATAGATTGGTCAAAGAATAGTAAATTATAAAAGTGTGGGAGTGCAAAGGTGTTTAGGTTAGGGTAGTTAATTAGGTGAGGTGGTCAGAAACTTCAGTCTAGTGTGATAGAATTTGTGTAGCTGTCCTTGCCTCAATATCTTATCTCTGATAATAGGAATAATACTTTTCTTCTCTGATATTGAGGAATTATATTTTCTCTAGAGAATTTAATCTTCTGCTGGACTGAAACAGCATGATGGTCAGATTGGTCTTCTTAAACCTGCTATTTTTCAATTACCTCAAAATAACCAATATGCCAGAGTGACTTATTTGGGGGTGGGATAGTACTGACTCCTTCTTATCTATTCAGGAAACTTTTACTGCCTTTTCATGCTGGACATTGAGAATGATGAGACATACATGGCAAGGTCCTTGTTTAAAGAATAAATAAATTAGTTTAGTTGGAAAAATAATGATGAAAAGAGTTTGTGTAACAAGTCAGTGGCAGAATTTGTATCTGCATTTATTCTAAAGGACCAAAATCTATGTTTCCCACAAAAACACATAGCCATTTCAAAGGACTTCAAACATCATTAAAAAGCAGTAACAATATTATGGTCTAATAAAGGTAGAGTGTGGAAATCATACAATTGACTATTATGGGCAGACGACAAGGCATGATTTGATGGTAGAAGTGTTGGGGAATGGAGTGTGTGGGGGTGGGGAGAAAATGAATCAGGAGACCAATTAGGAAGTCACTGCTTATCCTGAGAAAAGAGAATAAAGCAGTAAGAGTGAAGGGGGAGTTGGATTCCAGAGCTGTTGAAAGGGAGAAACACAATAGGTTTTGAAGACATTGTAAGAGTGAGGAGAAACGTGTGTGGAGAGTGACCTTAAATGAGATCGTCTCTGTCTATTGGTGTCTGGGTACATGATTTTACCCTTTATAAAAGTAAGGAATACAGGTTAAGGAATAACGTGAGAAAATACAAAATTTCCTGCTTCTATTGCCTTTTCATGTGGTGGGTCCAGACAGGGGGCTCTGACTTTCCTTGATCTGCCACGAACCTGTTTCTGCTCTAAATGTAGTGTTATTAGGCACTGCCACTGCTGCTTATCCTCACAGCTTTCGATGTTTATTCCCAGCTATGCACTGAAAATGTTGCTGTAGGTGTATTTTCTTTGCAGTATTCACACCAAATCTGTGAGATAAATGTTCATCTTTTCTGTGTACCGAGCAAACTGAGCCATAGTGAGGTTTAAGTATTGCTAAATGGCATTGCTAGACGCCAGAGTGGAAATTCAGCCCGACTCCAGTGACGGCATTTTCCATGCCTTCCTTCCACTCAGGTACAAACTATTTGAGTCTGAAGCGCCCACGGGAAATCCACATTTGCCAGTTTGTGAAGTGTGGATAATAATAATTGCCTACATGTATATGGAAGTTTAAAACTGAGCTACAATACCAAGTATGGAAATTATCTTGAAACTCTTCATTTTTCATATTCAACATTAATTAATTTCTAGAAAGAATTTGATTAAACTATGGGTGACTAAGTGGCTTGCAATACTAATAAAATCCAGCCTATGATGACCTTGAGAATGCTAAGGTTGCTTTAACTTAATGCCTCCAATAGGAAAAAGTTTATGATTGTAAACTTTTAAAAACCTGAAGCCACAAAGAAATTTTAGGTTATTTAATCAAAAGGTTTATATGAAGAAACTGACATCTAGGCAAAAGTTCCAACTACTATAGCAGCCTTTAAACTGTACAAAGAGAGGTATGTTGTCTTTCATTGTATAACATTTTAAAGTTGAGTTGCATCAGCAGCTTTATTATATTAATCATGCACCCTCTTGCTGGGTGCAATCCACTCCACTCCTTATTTTCTCACTTGCAGACACTTTTCATTCCTTAATCTGCCCAGCACCTGTAGGGCTGATGTTTGTGATGCATAATCTAGAGATTTATTCAGTGCTTTAATTAATTCTACAGGGGCAGGTAGAATCTGAGGTTCAAGATTTATTATCTTTCAGTCTGTTAAACCTACCATTAATTTTTTTCCTATGATGAACAATGCATTAATTTACTAGAAATGACATAAAGAAGCACCACAGTCTGGGTGGCTTAAACAACATGAATTTATTTTATTACAGCTCTGGAGGACAGAAGTCTGAGATCAAGATATCGGCATGTTTTGTTTTGTTTGCAGCTCTCTCCTTGCATTAGATGGTTCCCCTCTCTGTGTTTTCACATGGCCTTCTGTCAGTATGCACATCCTTGGTGTGTCTTTCTCTTCCTACA